AGTTGAGCCTTCCGTCATCCAGTGTCTTCAGAAAGAGAGACACGTAGAAACGATAAAGCCGGTAAGTGAAAATGAGGTCGATAATTTTCATTCATCATGTAATTAATTGATTTATAGTTTATCGCGACAAGCCTAACTGTAACCAAAGGTATTTTAAGAGTGTGCAGAAATAGGACACGTTTAAACAACAAGATCAGAAAATTCAACCCATTTTTTATTGGGTCTTGTTCATAATCTTTGGATTGAAGTAAATAGGACAGTTGAAGTTTCTTTTAATTGATTTTAGCTGGGTGAAAAGCTTGGAATCGTCTTAGAATTTGATTTAAAATATATTTTTAAACAAAGTCCAAAACGAGCTCTATTTTAGGTCAATACCCTGTGAGGAGACAGTATTTAGCGCCGTTCGTGTTTGGCATCCTTGCCGGTTTGTGCCCACGTCAGGGGGGCCACGTGTGGCTGAGTGATGCTGTGCCACACGCCCAGCCACTCAGCATCCTTTGTGTCCGCCCGCTGGCAGCCGTCCAAGCTCCAACACAAACCCACTCCCAACGAGCCGGCGTTCATTAAAATGCACGCGCACCTTAGCCGGCTCACCAAAAAAAAAAAAAAAGTCTGTCCCAACTTGCTGTGAGCAAGAATCCTCACTAATCAAGATGTTAAAGTGAGGCTCAGCTGGGGGGAGAGGGGGGGGACGGCAGCGGCGGACACCACTATCTCTGGAAGACTTCATCAGATCATCGAGTCAGATCCACCAGCAGGAGCAGCAGCTCTACTTTTAAACATGGGGTATTTTTCCATTCAAGATACACTTAATTAACAAAATTTCTAATTGCAACTTCCAAAAACTACAATTTTGAGAGTATTAGTATCAAAACCACTTTAAAACTTGACCAAAAACTAGATAAAACTGAACAGAATCATAACAGCAGTAGTCATACCAAGTATCAGAGCTTACCATATTTTTCGGACTATAAGGCGCATTAAGTTTTTTTTTTTTGAGGGATTTTTGAGCGCCGTGCCACATAAAATCAGTTCGAGGTCAGTAAGCACAACCAGAATTAATGCATAAGGCGTACCGGATTATAAGGCTCAATGTCGATTTTTGAGAAAATTAAAGGATTTTAAGTGCGCCTTATAGTCTGAAAAATACGGTAATTTGTAAACCGATCAATACCGGAACGCAAAAAGTGGAAGGGCGGGGGGTCCTCCCCCAGAAAATTTTGAATAAAGTAGATGTGACTTCCTGCATTTTGGTGTATTTTAATGGGTTGTTAAACATCTACGTGCTTGTTAGGGAAAAAAAAATAATAAATATATATATATATATATATATTTTTTTTTTCCCCCCCGGACCCCGAAGCACCAACTCTTGGATCCCACTATGAGAACCACTGCTCTAGACAGCCTTCAATGTCGGTAAAAATAACCGGCACATGAATGGACAACTTAACTCAAGACTTCCTAATTATAAACGGCTCCTTGTCGTTTGAAGGCACAACGTAAAGGATAAAGCTGTAGGCCGCCACGTCTATCGAGGACTGACGGCGTGAAATTTTATAATGCGCAAGATATTTCCCTTATTTTTTTTAATTTTTTTTTAATAAGTCCTTAGCATATTAACACTCGCACCAGCTGAGTGTTTCTATCTACCGGAGAATCCCGAGTTCCGGGAGGTGGAGAGCACAGAGAGGTGAGCGGGGCTCTGTTGAAAATGCAGAAAAGAGGGCAGCAGATTGCACGAGAAGGTAGGAGGGAAGGAAAATTAAAAATATATATATATTTAAATATAGAATATCCACCGCTTTGGTTTGATTAAAGAGCAGCTAAAACGAAGCGCCACGTAAAATGTTCGGTCGGTTCACAGATTTCCGGAGATTAGCCGGGGGGGGGGGGGGGGGATAAATTCAGCGGTTTAAGGTGAAAGACGTGAAGGGAGGAAAACCAACCTGAAGACGTAGCGACGCTGATCCCAGATCAGTTTTGGCTCACTGGGATCTCAGCTGTTCCAGGGACCCTACGTGACCCCCCCAGCTGCTGTTTTCTGCCTTTGACGTTTTAAGAAAACCCATTTTAGAGGCTCCTCAATCACCGGATTTTAGAATTTTCACAAAGACGTTAAAGCTTTTTAATAAACGCAGACAAATTTGGGTTTGTCTAAGCCCATCGGTTGAAATAGAACACTAATTTTATTGCATTTTTTTTTTTTTTTTTTTAAGCTTACCGGTAATATAGTTCTTGCGCAACTACACACATTTATCAAACATTAAATTTAACAATGAAGTGAATATTAACACTTAAAAACTTATTATTTCATGCACATCTTTTAACCGATGATTCAAATTTTATTATTCAGTTTCATGTCTTTTTCTTCCACTGAAACTTTTATTCGATTGTTTTTGTGTTTGAGCTGCCATCTTGGCTGGACTTCTCAAAAGACGAGACGGTTTGCGTCAATGGCACCTTCGTGGTAAAAGGAATTATAAATAAAGTAAAACAATCTCTGGTAAATAAACTAAATTCAGGGTTGCCTCTTCTTTATAGGTTTGGCATGCACATTAGATACAACCGTATGAATCGGTTATCGGTCTACGTTTTAGGACAGTTTTACAAGAAAGGTCGCCATCGACGGCAAACTGAAAGTATGATTTAATCCTGGGGGTGGACTTGTGTGCTTTCAGCGTTTCCTTCAGATTCAGAGCCGTCAGCACGGAGAGGGCGCCGTAAGGGCAGCACGAAGTCGACTCAGGGGTCGCAAAGGGGGGAAATGTTCTGGTCAACTGCAAGGAACTTTCCACCTGAAAATTTATCTAATGTACACACAAAAAAAAATACACTGAAATTACTTTTAGACAACAGGTTTAACATTTTTATAATTCCCGCTTTTTGGTCGTTTTTGCCGAATTAAAACTATCCACGATCAATATTTACCTGGTTTTTTTTGGTCATTTTATCTCCAAAGTACAAATTCCAGAAAACTTGCATGCAAGAGCAAATTTATTTACACCACTGAATAAATCCTTTTCGGTTGTATCATTTCCACCTGTCCCTACATGTCCAGGTAACGGTTAATCAGTTTTGAGGGCGTGGTACCGCTCATGGCAAAGAAATCTGGTCGTCCATGCAGGAAAATTATTTTTTAGATTTTTAGTTTGTACAGTTACAGCTGTTTGCTAATAAATGTGCCTGTGTGACAACTGGGACAAAGCTTTGACTCAGAAATATGTATTTTTAATCACTTCTGGACATAAAGAAAAAAAAAAAAAATCGCGATATATATCGTATATCGCCATTCAGCTTAAAAATATCAAGACATTAATTGTGGTGCATATCGCCCAGCCCTACGGTCCAGATTATGCTAAAACACCCATGTCAACTTACAAGATTTTAAATTCCAACTTTACTCTCATGAATTCCCGTTAATTTCTAAAAAAAAAAAAAAAAAAAAAAAAAAAAAAAGTTCCCAACTCTGAAAATTACCGGAATTTTGCACCCCTGGTTTGAGTCAAAGGAATTAATGGAGACGTCATGAACAAGTAACTGTCTCCACAAACGAGTGGATGGAAACTAAATAAAACGCTGTCAGTGTAGCATAAGGCGGGGGGGGGGGGGGGGGGCACAGAGGATTGCAGTGTTTGGGATTTTCAGG